TCTCAGCATCTTCCCGGCCAACCCTGTGGGGGCAACGCAGCTCAATTCTTCCTCAAAACAGCCCCTCTTGAGTCTCCCCTCAAATCCATCCTTGGGGCTGACAGGAGCAACCCTTGGTGCACAGCAGGACCAACATCCCACACGAGATTCCCAGGCAAATACATGTGACCATGGCACTTTGGGGATGCCCCAGGAACAGTGCCTGGAGACAGCTGTCACTGCTGACCAGCTGGGGAAGTCAGGCGCTGAGATATGGACAAGGCTCCCACCACTCCACAGAACCTGGCCTTACCTTGTTATCCCATCCTTGATGTAGTAGAGGAGACATTCGGACATGAGTGGATCCTCATTCAGGTTGACCAAGTGTGGTGTCTGGGAGAGATGAACAAGGAGTCATCCCAGTGCACCCTGTCTACCCAGGCACTGAGGGATGCTCCTGAAGAGGTGGGAGCTCGGTAGCACTGCAGACTGCCATTGCACTGGCTCTCTTGCCCTCTTGTAACTCCAGGATAACCTGCCCAGACAGGTACTTTTCCCGGGGACTGCAGAGAACCAAGCAGCTGGGAGGAAGATGCCCTGCTTCCACATGCCTCCTTGCTTTTCTCCTCCCAGGGCTGAGCCCTGGGTATGCTTCCCCCAGCCACCTTTGAAAATTCATGTTCCAAACAGTCCCAACACGGAGCCAAACAATTCCCATGGGGAGTCCCTGCTACAGCTCAGAGTCTCCTGGGGCAGGACCCTTCTTACCTGTGCTGCGTATTATAGAACCATAGAATGGTTTGGGTTGGAAGAGACCTTAAAGCTCATCTCATTCCATCCCCCTACCATAGGCAGGGACACCTTCCACTATCCCAGGTTGCTCCAAGCTCCGTTCAGCCTGGCCTTGGACACTTCCAGGGACGGGGCAGCCACAGCTTCCCTGGGCAACCTGTGCCAGGGCCTCCCCACTCTCACAGGGAATATCCAATCTACCCCTGCCCTCTGTCAGGTCAATAAAGAAGTGCCCATTTTCCTCCACTGATAGTACAAGGACAGAGGAAGCACCTGAAAGAGCAGGTCTCAGAGGTTCAGCCAAAAGCAGTGGAGAACCTGAAGCCATATCTGCAGTCTGAATTTCACTCCCTGGTCTTCTTCCAAACAGTTCCCTCCCATCCCTTTCCTCCCCTGGGTCACAAAACACTTTGTTCTTGACAAGAAGGAAATTTCTCCCCCAGTCACAGACCTCCCTGCCTGCAGCCAGCTTAGCTGCTGGGATTGCACCTTCAGGGAACAGGGAAAGTCCCAGGAGTATGAGTGAGTGAAGTTCTGAGTTTCCCAGACAGAAGAATAGTGACCGTAAGGAATACTCCATCAGCCTGCTGAGACCCAGCATGCAGAGGGGTCCCCTCAACACGGTGCCACGAGCTCTGGCTGACAGCAGAGACTCACTCCAAACTGGGCAGCAGAGCTGGAGGTCAAGGAAAAGGTGGGCTATTCTCTGTGGTGGCTGGCAGAAGTTGGCTGTAACATTTAATGTCTGGCCCCTCTGGACAGACACGTGGACCTGGGGGCTGAGGCTCCTTCACTTGCAGTTTTTGTCCAGATTTGCAAAGCTGCTGACCTGCTGAGCTCCTGGAGCCACGACCAGCCCGGCCATGGCACAAAGTGGAACAGCATAGTTCTGTCCTGCAATGCCCATAATAAAGTGGGGTTTGCACACTGTCAACACCAACTTTTCTTGCCAGCCACTGGAGAATTCAGAAGAGTTTCCACCCATCAGATAGCTGAAGAGCAAGGAGGCACCAACACCACCACAGCAATGCCCCACCTCCAAGACTAACCTGCTTGGGGGAATAAACCCCTACGCTTCCTACCCAAAGGTCAGGACTCCTAACAGGCAGTGGCTGGGACAAGAAATAAAGACAACAGTGTACAAATTTATCCTAAAAGTCAAGCTGGGGCATGTAAGGGGAAGGTCCCGATGTCCTTATCACCACCTCAGCTTGAGACACACAAGGGGTTTGGCCAAGGCAAATGCTACAAGAAATGAAGAAATGGAATATTTTCCCATCCACATTTCTTAGCGAGGACTTGCTGGTTTCAGGTTCAGGGGCAGCAGTTTTAAATATCCCAAAGTACAGATTTTCACAAGCTGACACTGAAGTCCAACACAGCAATCATAAGCAAATGCCTCCATGAAAGGGGACAGCACCCCAGCAATGGGGGCTGGACATTTAGCCACATATTTCTACCCATGTTTGTACCCAGCAGGCTCAATGCTGGGATTTCCCCATAAGTTTCAGAGCCAAGAAACAGCTAGTGAAATATGTGGGGCTGACCAGCTGTGATGGCACAGGCCAGAAGGGAGCTGCGGGGGTACAAACCAGTCCCCAGGAAGAAGAGAATAGGATGATCCTACCTTTTTAGGAGAGAAAACACCCAAGGTGCCTCCATCCTCCCTCATGGCCACCCCCATTTCGGCCAGCAACGCTTCCCTGAAGGAGCAAGGGAAAGAAGAGCCTGTCAAAGCCCCATGCACCCCTGGAGCCAGCACTAGGATGCAACTTGATCCCATGAATTTGTCCCATGGATCGCAGACATAGGGCTTGCTTCAGCTCTCTTCACAATTCTGGTGGGTTTCTCAGAGCAGCCCACCTCTGTGCAGGCTAATGAGGTGGGCACTGGGGTGCCCCAGTGACAGACGAGGGTATGGCTGGACATTCAAACTGCCTGGCTGCCCCAGGAACTGAACTGCTGGAGCAAAGGGAATGGCATCCCATCCCACCCTGTCCCATACCATCCCAACCCACCCACCTCTCCATCCGGATTGCTTCTGTCCTCCGCAGCTTCTCCTCCCACGTCTCATTCAGCTCCGCAATGATCTTCTCTGTTTCCTGGCAAACGTGGGTTGAGCAGGGGGTTAGTGTATCCCATGGGCAGCAGGCCTGCCCGCTCTGCCCAGTTCTGCCCAGCATGCTGCAGTGGGACACTGGTCCCAGTTTCAGGCTGGCTTATACAAGGTGCAGCAGCATTTCACCCACATCTTTCCATCAGCCCCGTCTTCAAAGAGTGAGGCACAAAGACCAGCTTCTCCACCCTCTTGCTGCCAGCCTGCTCCTGCACCATGCTGAGCCAGGAGCACTCATCCCGAGCCAGGAGTGCCCATCCCAAGCTGGGAGCACCCATCCCACAGGGCAAAGGTAGTCATCACCCTGCAGGAAGGATGGCAGCACCAGGTAGGCCTACAATACCAAACCCCCTGCCATCCGGCAGTTTGGGCAAACCCTGGGTCTGTCTGCTCTGCAAGAGGACATACGAGCATTGCTTCCCAGGAGCAGCATCCATCATGAGTTTCCAGAAAATACTGAGCCCCCTCTGCAAGCCACAGTGCGTTGAGCTGAGCCCTTTGTCCTGCAGGGCACTGTCCTCTTACCTTGAGTCTTTCAATTGCCTCTTCACTGCCCGGAGCAAACATGATGCGCTCGTGGAGGCTGGCAACAGAGGCAGCACGGCTGGATAAGGCAGACAGGGAGGAAGAGGGGCTGATCCCAGCAATGGCATTGGTCACTGTGGAGAGATTGTCATGGCGGTGACTCAGCTCTGCCCCTCTAGCATCATTATTGTTCTCAAAGTCGGACAAATCTATGGGCGGGGAGGGATGGGCCAGGAAAAGACACACGGAAAGGAAGAGAGAGAAAGAGAAAGATAGAGACAAGAAAAGCTGTTGGGAAAAAAAAAAAGAGTGGCCGGTGTGCCAAGAAGAAAGCCAGGAATTACAAGGAAAAGGCACAGGCAGCAGCATAGCACCACAGACAGCACCAGGGCAAGGGCACATGCTTTCTCCCCTCAGGACACAGGGCAGTTTTGTGAAGCAGCTGCTGGAAGCAGCCTTCCCAAGCTCCCAGGGATGTTTTTTTGCAACACCAGATCCTGCAGCAATCAGGTTTGACATCAAATGTCCTCCCTGAGCATGTGCCACTGCCCCTGTCATCCTCCCCATCTGATACAGCCTGGGTGGTTTTCTCTGCCCAGATGCCCTAGATTAGCTGGATCCAGGGGCAGAGAATGAGAAGGGAAGGCAATGAGAGGTGGTGGCCCTCCACCCTACTAAGGGGTAGGTGGACAGGGCAGGAGAAGTGGCAGGATTCCCTGACAGGATCTGCTCACAGGAAGCCCTTGGCCTGCTGGAGCAGCACCTTGGCCAGGCAGCCAGAGAGTGAAGCCAGGGCTACAGGCAGCGGTGCTTGCTGGCCAGCACCCCAAGAGTGACCTGCAGCAGCTTAGGACCCAGCTACCGGAGATGCTCCTCCAGCTCCCAGGAAGTTGCGGGGTCTCAGCACGCTGTGCCGGAGATGGGCAGGGCACAGCTTAGCAGGTGCAGCTTTAATCACCCATCTCCATCAGCCCACATCCAGGGATGCTGAGCCAGGAGGGGATAGCCAGGCCCTTGTCTCCTCAGCAGGCTTGCCATAGCCTTGCTGCACTGCCTGACTCGGGGTGGGATGGGGCCACAGTGCTTATCCATGGGCAAAATCCTCCTGGCCATCACCACCCACCCCTTCATCAGGAGAGCACCATGCCGTCCCACCCAAGTGCCGTGCTAGGCTCCAGTCCCAGTGAGACACAGCACCAGCGGAAGCAGCAGCAGCAGCAATCAGAGGAAACATCATGACAGCATGGAGGAAGGGATCCCTGTGGGGATTGAGCCCTTGGCATGGCTGAGTGGGAGGACACTGGTCCCTCGAGCACTATCCCAAGCCCAGGTGCTAACCACAACTCTGCCACTATCCTTTCTGCCAGCTCCCTGGGGATGGCCAGCCTGTGGGCACGGGCTGCTCCATCAGCAGGGGCTGGCTGTGGGAGCCCCTCCCCATGCTGCACGAGTGCCCCTGGGCACAGCCTATGCCTCCCAAAAGCCGTGAAGCAACAGAGAGTACCAGTGATGGGGAATACACACATTTGGATCCTCCTGCAGCAGGATGGGCTAAGAGAGAAAGAGAGGGCAGGGAGCGGGGGTGAGACAGAAAGAACAGAACAAGAGGGGGTTCATCTCAGTTGGATATCTGACAGCACAGGGAGGAGAACCCATGGGTGCGTGCAGCCCCAGGAACACCTTCCTGGCACCTCTGCTGGGTGCTGAATGCTGAAGAAAGTAGGTGGAGGGGAAGAAGGGAAGGTTTTCTGGGTGGAAAACAGCTCCTCCTGCGATAGGAGGGGATTGGGAGTTGCAAACACACACCAGGGGCTCGCCACAGGCAGCACGATGCCACCATGGCAGGATGGAGCAGGATGCACGGCAGATGTGGGGACATTGGCCCTGCAGGCTGGGGGGACCTCAGCCCATCGCTGCAGGGAGCCACTGGCAGAGAGCACCTGTGGTACCTACTGTCAATGATGTCCCCAAGACCCTGGGCATAGAGAAGGTCACGCAGACGTGCCACCTCATCCTTCAGCTCCCGGATGAGCTTGTTGTTGGGGTCCTCATTGATGACAGCGTTGCAACGGATCTGCTTGGCGCGGTCGGCATACCTAGGGAAGGCAGGGTCTTGAGCAGTGGCGAGGAGAGGAGCAAAACTCCAGCTCCTTGTCAAGTGGGAATGACACAGAGCCCTTCCAGCAAGTGATCCTTTGGAGGATCCCAGTGCTGGGACAGTCGTTTGCATCTTGTCTGGGGCTGCAGGTTCCCCCCACACCACACCTCCAGCCAGGGATGCCACAAAGATGAGGAGAGCATGTGGCAGTGCCTGGGCCTCAGAGACTCCCCTGCTCTTGCTCAGTGCAGTGGGAACAAGGGCACTTCTTCCTACCTGAGGGTGCTGAGGGTCTCATCATAGTTGATGTCAGCAGGACTGAGAGCAGCGACCATGGCAGTCCTGGAGTTGCCCCCTGCCCAGAGAGACACACCCACATCAGGGAGACGCTGGTCCCTGTGCCAGCTGTCACCCTCTGCTCAGCACCCATGCCCACCACCACACTGTACCCCCCACCTGTCCTCACCCAGGTTCTCCCGCAGCAGCCAGGTCAGCACCGAGTCCCGGTATGGGATGAAATCCGTCTTTTTCTTCTTTTTGTTCTGGGGGGTGGAGAGCAAAGGGAAGGGCTGTCAGGCTGCCTGCTCTCTTCAAAGAGGTGACAGCTGGTCCCCAGCCATGGGGACTTGGAGGATGATGGCTCTGCCTGGCCACTGCAACCTTGGGCATCTTTGCTCAGGTCCACAGGTCCTGTCTGTGAAATGCCCTGGGGTGGGGGGATGTTTAAGGCTGGGTACTGAAAGCCATAGGGTGAGGAGGGTGAGGAGGATGCTGAAGGCTCTGCCAGCCCCTGGGAGAAGCATGGCTTGTGTCCAGGCACAATCTCATCCCCAAACCACCCTGCAAACCACTTCCACCCAACTGTGCCAGGGTACCTACCTTGTTTGGCCCCGAATCCTGCAAAGGAAGTGGAGAGACTGTTTAAGGGAACTGCTTCCCTACTCGGTGCCCACCACAGCTCCCCCGCTCCCCAAGTAGAGAGCAGCAGGCACAGGTCCCAGTGGAGATGGCAGCCTCACCAGCCCAGCTTGTTCCAGCCCCAGGGACAGCTTGGGAGGTATCTGCCCATCCCTCAGAGGTGGGATGCTCCATCCCTTGGAGCTGAGTCCATCCCTGCTGGGCCAAGCCCATTCCCCTCACAGTGCCGCTGCTTCCCTGTGCTCTGGCTACCTACCATTTCAGCCAGGGCAGAGATGACTTTCCCCAGAGTGGTCAAGGACTTGTTGATGTTTGCTCCTTCCTGGAGAGGAGAGGAAAAGCCCAGATGCTCAGGCCCCATTTCAGAGCCTCATTAAACCCCAGAAGAATGGGGAATTCCCAGTATGGGGTGGGCAAAGAGCAGCTGGTCTTACTGGATAACCAGCACCTCCCAGCTGGGACTCATGGACCGTGATGAAACTGGCATTAGGCAGCTTTCAAACACAACCCTATCAAGGATTTTGGCAGCACAGTGGGCAAGGAACCAGTGGGCAAGGAAAGGAGATGTCTTGGCTGGGGACGAGGGGGCAGGACGTGGTGTCCCCACCAGCAGAAGTGGACCTCACATCAGCTCTCACCTTCAGCCTTGTGCCCTTGGCGCCTGTGGAGTCGGCTCGCTCGCTCCCAGCCAGGTCCACCAAGCTGATTTTGCTGACCTGGAGGCAGAAGTGAAGCTGTCAGCCCTGTGGTCTGCCCTCTTGGCACGAAGCCAAGACCTTTTGCAGGGTAACACTCCTCTGAGGGCAGCGGTGGGCTCTGCGGGGTCATCCCTGCAGGATTTGTCCAAGAGCAGGGCTAATATCCTTGCAGGTAGGGCTAATATCCTTGCAGGTAGGGCTGGAGGGCATCAGATGCCAAATATCCCGTCCAGGAGCTGGTACCACAAGGGACCATGAGCCCAGCATGCACCTGGGACTTATCTCCCTCCTGTTCCAATCCTGCATGAGGCTGCACCACCTCATTCCAAGTGCTGATGACAGCACACAAAGCCCTTCCTGGGTCCCTGTGGGTTTCCCCAAGTCTTTCAGGCTCTGCTCTCACCTTTTCAGTGGTGATGTCTGTCTCAGCATCATGTCGCTTCTGCGTGAAGATGATGTTGAACACGGCGTGGGAGCGGCTGCTGGTCTCATTCATGTTGGTAGCAGCCACTGTGCTGCAGGGATAGGAGCACAGGGAGGTGTGACACCCTGTGGGGGACACTAAAATGGCTGTTGATGGGGCCAGGGCTCATGCCAGGACAGGGTACATGGTGGGAAGGCAACTCTGGAGGACAAGACAGGACTCTGGGAGGAGAGATGCACAAGTCTAGGCCTTCTCGTGCTGGCTCCAGTGAGTTTTTAGAGCAGGAAGGAGGTAAGGTGAAAGGAAGAGGAGGGTACCCAATGCTCAGAGAGAAGGGGACTGCCATCTCCAGAGCAGATGGACTGGCAAAGCAAGGAAGTGAAGCAGGACCTTCTAGAAGTGTCTGCAAGCCCTCCAAATCCTGTCCATCTCCTCCTTCCCCAACTCACCGGGCCTTGTTTCCAGAGTCCATGAGGTCCTGGATGTCATTGTAGGAGGTCACGGCCAGCTTGGAAAGGTCTTCAACATACGGGCCCATAAGGGGATGCTCCCTCACCCGCAGGTTCCCCTTGTTCTTGGGGTTCAGGAGGTCCCTCACGCGCTCGCAGTAAATCTCCATGTAGCTCACCTAGAGCAGAAGGCACGGGCAGGGCTAGCAGAATGAGGTCCTGCCTGCCCATCCCACACCCAGGAGCACTCCCAAAGAGGGGCCTGCACACCAGCACAGCTTCCAGAGATGGTGGGAGGCTGGAAGAGGAGTAGAGAGGCAGTGGGGTGCCTACCTCCACAGAGTAGGACATGTTGTCATTCGTCGTGTCGTTGATGCGGGAGAAGAGGTCCTCGCACAGCTGTGGAGAGAAGAAGACAAGAGCCAGGCTCAGTCCCCTGCCAGCAGGATGCTCCTGCCTGGGGTGCCCAGGACACAGGGATTTTTACCTTCTCACCCCAAAAAATAGAGCCAAAGGGTGGTGGGATGGCTCCCAGGGAGCTGTCAGAGCTCCCCCGTGCTGATCAGCGTCCCCAGAGGCCCCTCGTGTCCTGCTGGGCCAGCACGTGGCAGCTCTCGGTAAGCAGCTCAGCACTCGGACTCCTGCTGCTCCCGAACACCAGTCTTGTGTGGCCAGACCATAGTCCATCCAGCCTTGGGAGAGTCTGGATGACTCTCCTTGGCCCCCCACTCTCCAGTGGAGCCATGCCAGCTTGCTGTCATGGCAGCGCTGTATTAGACCTTGGCAAAACCTGGCCCCACTCCCACCCTGCTGCCCTCTTCCCTCCCAGCTCTGCTTTTCCTTTGGGCATGCCTCTGGGACCAGGGGGACAGGGAGCTTTCCCCAGGCACACCTGTGGGATGATGCCTTGCTGGTCCTTCTCCTGCTTCCCCATCATGGTGTAGGATTTTCCAGCTCCCGTCTGCCCGTAGGCAAAGATGCACACATTGTAGCCTTCAAAGGCATGTTGCAGCATCTCCTCACCAATGTCCCGGTACACTTGCTTCTGGGATGCATAGTTGATGTCTGCAGGCTGCAGAGAATAGGGATATATGACGAAATTTGGCAGGGAGGCCCTCCTGCCTCTCCCCAGCCCAGTGCTCCAGGTAGGCTCAGACCTCCCAGTGCTTACCGTAGTGTGGGACCAGTAGGAATAGTCAAAGCTGAAGCTTTTTGGTGTCTCTTTAGGCTGCTTCGGGTTCAGGATAGCTAGGGACAAACAGATGGGAACATGAGGCCTCCAGCCAAGTGTGGTACCCCTGCCTCCCACACCCCCTGCGGGAGGGGTCGGGGGTGATGGGGTTCAGTCCAAAACAGTCCTGGAAAGTGGACTGGGACCCTTCCAGCTCTGCAGATGCGTCTAGAGCCCCCAGACCCCAACAATGAAAACAGAGGAGGTGGATGCCATGGCCAGCAGAGCCCAAGGGAACAAGGCAGAGCTTTGCCCAAACATCCTGCTGGACACGGTGAGGGGGACATGGCTCCTTCCCTCAGGTTCCTTGCTGTTGTGGCCCCTGCCCATGGGAGCCCAGCACTGGCATAGAAGGGTCACAGCCTTCCTTACCCCACAGCTGGGGGGCTGTGCCCAAAGCCCCCACGCTGGCACTGTTGGGTGGGAGCAGCTGCAACCCCATTGGGGCTCCCCTAGGGCCCCCCCAGCTCCTGCTTCTCCAGGTCCCCAGCCCCAGCAGGGTGATTAATGCCTCGTGTCACACCACCAGCAGAAACAAGAGCCTGCTTTTCTCATCCCCTGATGAAAAGGACGTTGCCATGGAAATTGGAGCCTGCATCACTGCTCTTCCTTGCCCGATGCTTTTTTTTTCTCCTGTAGAGCATTTTCAGTGGTTTTTTTCTGAAACAACAGATGCGTCAGAAGAAACTCAAACCAGTGGGTAATCATGAGATCCAGCCACCAGCCATGTTAGGTGACATTGAGGTGACCTTGCAGGCCTGCACAGCACAGTTCCCATGCCCACAGCTGCTCCCTGCCACCACTGAGGACAAGGAGCCCATAAGCCCTGAGGCCAACAGACCTCCCTCCATCCCAAACTACCCTGCCCTGTCCTGAAGTCAGCATTCATCCAGGGCTCACATCCACTCTAGATTCCAGGTGGGACCTTCCTGAGCAGCCCCAGGCACGGTGCAGCCTGCTACTGTGGTGTCAGATACCCAGGTGCATGGTGTTATGGATATGAACACTTTCTGCTCCAAATTCCTCCTCCACTGCCACAATGGATGCTCCCTTGGTAAGGGTCTGCCACTTCTGGCCTGAGATAAGCCCAGCCCTGCACACAACAGCAGCGGGACCGGCAGGGAGAGGGTGGGAAGTGGGGTCAGGGTCCAGCCCCAACCATGAAACCACAGCACAGTGCTGCTCAGACGCTACTCACTGTGGACAAAAGCCCAGCTCTCACACCAAAGAGGGGCAGCCACAGGCTCCCTGCCTGCCTACCCACTGCAGGCAGCCTGATTCAGATGCTCTGGATGTCTGCTGCATCCTGGGCAAACTAATTACCAGGAGAAAGGGCTGGGAAGAGACAACTGGCAATCCTGCCGCTGCAAATGGGGATGTGGAGGTCCCTGGAAGAGCAGGTCTTTGTGGGCAGTGTGGGCAGCCACAGGGGCTGCCCATCCCTGATCCCTGCCAATGCCTGGCTGTTGTGCTGGGGGCGTTGTGAAGAGAAGCGGGTGTGGAGGCCATGCAAGAAGTGGGATGGTGCATCTCTGATGGGTCCTGGTGTTCAACCTGGCAGCTCTGCCATGCCACCTGTGCTCTGCTCGAGTCTGCCTCTGCCCTGCAGGGGTGACCCTCACCACAGTGAACAGGAGCAAATATGAGTCCTGGAGTAGGCAGGATGGGAACAAGGTGGCTGTTCTGGATCCTGTGCTGGGCACGGGGCAGAGGAGCAGCTGAGGATGGCACAAGCATCCCAGCTGCAACTGCCCAGCTGGCACAGGAAACCAGAGACTGGGATGGACACAGGGAGAAGGGAGAAGTCTGAGAGCAGGGAGAGCTGAAATGCTCTCCCCACGCCCCTGTCATTCTCATTTATTTGCCTGCAGGCAGATGGATGCTGCTGGTGGAATTTTTCCTCTCAGGCATCCAGGGCTTTTGCAAAAGATTTATGCTCTGGACAAATGGGATTGAAAAGGCAAGGAGGGGTGTGGGGGTGAATACAGAAATACAGACGAGGGGGCAGGAGGGAAGAAAACTTCTGGAGATGTCTCTTGCATGAGAAGCCAGCAGAGTGACAGAGTGCAGCAAGTGGGCAGGCACCAAGAAAGAGAGAACCCAGAACCCACAGCAGAGAAAATAATCAGATTTTAAAGCCAGCAGAGGCATGGCTCCAGCCAGAGAATATTACTGGCCTTGTGGGATCAAAGCCAGGAGTCCTGTCCTTACCATCTTGGTGGGAGCTGCCAGGACAGGGGCTGGGAATGTTGGTGCCCAAGATGGACCCCACAGAGTGAGGGACACCATGGGAATAAAGCAGCAGTGTTGGAGGGCAGGTGGGTGGTTGTGGCTGCTGGAAGTTTGCAGGGAAAAGGACAGCAGAGAAAAGCTGACTCCTTCCCACCCTGGTCCCTGGCCCCCGCTGTCCCCTACAGGGTTCAGTGCATTAGACAGAAGTACCTGTCCCCTGCCCCCGGCACATGCAGAGGTCAAAGCAAATAATCCTGTGAAGGGGAAAACTTGCTCTCACTCCCCACAGACATTTATTTTTGGCTTCTCTGCAAGGAGCTTGGGGGTGAGACAGTCCTGTTCTGCTGGCACTACTGGCATCCTTCTGCCTCCCCCAGCCACAGGAGAAGCAGGCCTCTGAGCCTCCCACGCCTGCTCTCCAGTCCCCTGGCCAAGGGGAATAGCCAGCGGTTTGTCCATTCATGGAGAAAATCCTTGCTGTCAGCAAAAGGCTCCTGCTCCCAGCCCTGCTGCCCTCCCTGGCTCAGGCAGGGGCAGGGGGTGGGGGGCCAGGGGCACAGCCAGGGGGTGCAGGATGAGCAGGGGTGGATGGCTCTGAGCAAACACGGCCACGGTGGTGGGGGCTGCCTGATGCTCTTGACCGGGACTGGGGCATGGCAGGTCACCCCCCCGCCATCAGAACCAGAACAAGGCACATCTACCCTGTCTATGCCCTGGCTCTGGGCAGGTGGGAAGCTCCTGTGGGGCTGGGAGGCTTCCTCACCATGAGGGCAGAAGTTCTGCACCCTGGGCAGACAGAGAACCCCTGCCCAACCAGGAAGGGAGAACCCCTACAGGACGCCAGAGTCCAGCAGACAATGCCCCACAGACCCACCCATTCCTGTTCCCAAGGCCTGGGGTGAGCAGAGGGCCCAGTGGGGACCCAGAGTCTCCCCGCACCCTTGGGTGCCCTCTCTCCCCACCCCTGGGGTTGCCATGGCAGCCTGTCAGCGCACCGCGGGGGTGGTTGGCACCGGTGTTTCACCCACCCTCGGTGACGCAGGCAGCCCCAGGCAGGCAGGCAGGGAGTTATTTTAGACGCTGTCCCATCTGGAGGCTTCCAGAGCCAAAGAGGAGGGATTCAGCTGCCGTTCCCAACAGCCAGAAGCTGTTACTTAAAGAGCAGCAAAGGCCGGACAGGCTCCTTGACGGGACAGACAGCCCCAAGCCCCCCTGCTACATCCCCCACCCCGAACACAACATTCCCTGGGCAAACCCCACTCCTGCCCCTCCATTCTGCTGTGGTTGCAGCTCCAAGAGCCCCACAGAGTCAGGGATGGGTCCTGGCATGCCGCAGTGTGTGGTACCTGGCCCAGCAGTGCTGTCAGAAGCCGCTCACAGACCCATGCATGGCTTCAAGGCCAGGTTGGATGTGGCTCTGAACAACCAAGTCTAGTGGAAGGTGTCCCTTCCCATGGCAGGAGGTTGGAATGAGATGGTTGCTAAGGTCCCTTCCAAGCCAAATCACGCTGTGATTTCTTTGATTTCTCCCTCATCACCTACCAGGGAATGCCGATCCATTCACTATCACTGAAATCCGAGGCCTCAGTGCCATAAAGATCCCATCACTGCCATTTCAACAGCAGGACTGCATTTCTCTATAGGAAAGGTGACATCCTCCCCACATTCCCTCCTCCAAACAACTCCGGGTGCTACAGGCATCTGCACCAAGGATCCCAGCAGCCCAGTGCTCGCTGCTGGGGCCAGACCACACATGCTCCTCCCCAGGCGATACTCAAAGCCCCTCTGCCCCAAGGCACTCACTAGTGGTGCTTCCTGACATCTGGATGATGCATTTGGATTCCCGGCTCATCTCCCGGGAGTTGAAGGGCCGGACGCGCACCGCCACCTTCACTGATGCTCCCGCCATCGCGCTGGCCAGGGGTGGGTCCTGCTACCAGTGGCTGTTCTGCAAGGAGAGAGGAAAAGGGAGTTAGGAAAGCTTGCATCCACATCCCAATCCACATCTTGCAGCAGTGCAGGATGAATGGAAAGCCTGTGCAAGGAAACCTCCCAGGAACACTGGTTTGCCCACATTTTACCTCTCCCTCCTCCCCATCTTATCTCAGGTCAGGACCCTCAGCTCAGTACCAGGGTCCATCCCCAGGGCAGGGCCACGTAGGCACTGTCAGCATCAGCACAACCCCCAAGGAGTGGTTTCCCATCCCAGGGTGCCAATGGCACTGAGCAGATAGCCCCTCAACTGCAAGCAAGCCCACAGGCCCTGCCAATCACCTGAACCTCCTGCCTCCCCTCTGACCCCAGCAAAGCAGGGGCTGGGCACCAGGACAGGGGGGACCAGGGAGGAAAGTGATAGCATTCCATTGAGAAAGGAGGCAGCTGTTAAACACAGCTGCTGGCATGTGGCTCCCATTCAGCTCTCACAAAGCAGACGTGTGGCGTCAGCATGAGCAGCCTTGGTGGGAATGGGTCAGCTGAAGTTTCCAGTTCATCGCAATTTTTCCACTTGTTTTGTTAATAAATTATTGATCACAAATCCCACAAGATGAAACAAACTGCTTGCCAACATCTCCCAGAGTAGTTGCCCATCCCAGCACTGGTGGCCAAGTGCTCCGTTGACCATCCCACCTTCCTCAAGCTGCAGTTAAGCCTCACTAGCATTGATCAGAAAATGATGCTGGGATTCTTCCTTTGACCACTGTATCCTTAGGGATCCTTTTGGACCTGACAAAATCTATTCCTGCCTTCTCCTGTCTGTCCCTGCTCCCTGATCTGCTATGCTGAGCCTGGTGGTGGAAGAGGAGGTCAGGACCCCTCAGTACAGGCTGGAACTGGCTCCTCTGGCATCTCACCTGCAAGGGTGCCTGCAAATTCCCTAAGGCTTTTCAAGCCTGGGTTTTGCCAGCAGGATGCTGGCTCTGGGAGGAAGGAGATCAGGGAGGAACGAGGTGTGAGTGAGCAATGGCACAGCTCTGGTTACATGGGACAAGATCAGAAGTGGAGCAGTAAGGATGGATCCTCAACACAAGATGGGTTTTCCCAGAATGGAAATTAAAAGTACAGCTGAATCTGTGGAAAAGAAGGGGGGAAAAGGGAAGAAAAAACCAGGTCCATAGAATGGAAAGTGTCCCAAAAGAAGGGGATGGCTTTAAAACTACCTGAGGTTTGACAGCTCTGGTTTCATTTCCAAGGGGGTGAGAGGAAACCAAAAGCACAGCACAGTGAAAAAATTTGCAGCAAGACAGTGTTACAAGCTCATCACTGCCTCTCAGAAACCCTTTGCCTATTTTCAAAGTGAGCCGGCATGCCCAACAGCAGGAGGAAGACAAAGCTTCTCCTGCTGGAGTTCCCAAACTCTCCTCTCACTGCCCCACTGGCATGGCTCTGGAACTACCACAGTGCTCATCTAGAGATCACACCCGTAAATTCCACCAGTTCCAGAGTTCAAGCATTTGGTCTCAGGTTTTCTTGAGCTTGGATTATTTTAAGCAGGTGTTTAACACCACCCTTGAGTCCCTAAGCCAGTGAGCAGGCTGCTGCGTGCCAGTGGCCTCTGCCTCAGATGGGGGAAAGGAAAAATTTAACAGGAGTGCTTCGCCAAAGGGGAACGAAAAAGTTGTTTTTCCCATGGAATGATAGGATATATTCCTAGATGGAAGGGCTGCATCCTCATGAGGCCATTGGCTCGAGCTGCTCCACCCTGTGGCACCACTCAGGGAAAACGGATCCATCACTGGGCTAAACAACATGAGCACCCGGCAACTGCTCATGTCAAATGTTTCCCTTTCCTCCTGAGCCCAGACAGCTCCCTTCCCCCAGCTCTGCAGCCTCTCCAGCTACTAAGGCTCTGAAGAGGTGGGTCAGGTCCCCAGGGTCCTGCCTCCTGCACAGCCACCAGAACAGCACACCCATCAGTGACCCAACCAGTCACAGGACTGCCTGCTGCCTGCCACGGGCCACTTCATCCCTGCTCTTATTCCCTCTCACCCCTGCACTGTTCCCAGCCCCTCCAGCCCTATCACTTCGATGAAGAAGCTCCGGTTTCTCTTTCGTCTCACTTTTCCACATGCCTCATCTTGCTGTATAGCCTCCATTAGTGCTGCTCGCCCTTCTCAGGGCAAGGGGCAGGAACCTGCTCAGTCCCACATCCCATACCCCCCTTAGCCCACCCTCAATAGCCATGAAAAGCCCCCACCTCACCAGCAGCCGTCCCCATGTCCACATCCCAGCGTATTCCCATCTGGCTAGCCTTGCCCCGTGGCGTGGGCTCCTCTCCCTGCCAGTACTGCCTGCTGCAGAGCCCCAAGCTTGACTCTGTTTTCTACTCCATCATTTCCTTCACCTTCCTCGGTCAGCAACGCACTGCTTCCCTCTGCTCCGCTGCAGCTCTCCAGTCCCATCTCTGCAATGGCAGCCCAAGGACCCCAGGCAACACTGTGTCCCCTTGGGGACCACCAGCAGACACCTGCACAGCTGCTTCCCGAGCCTCCTTCCCTCCTTCCCCCAGCTTGTTTTCCTGGCTCAGCTGTGGGGAGGAATTCAGCCTGCACCCACACACCATGGGAGCACCATGAGCCGCGGCGTCACTGGTCGGGCACTCAGCGTCCTGCAGAGAGAGGGGCCGGGCTGCAGTGGGCAGGGGCAGGCAGCCACCCCGCCCCCCCGAGCCCAGGCAGCTCACTCTGCCTGGGGACAGCCAGCCAACGCCTGCTTAATCCACTGCCATCGAGAGAAATTCAATAAGCCACGACCAGCCTTTCACTGGGAGCGGGCCAGCACCGCGGCCCCACTCCCTGCTCCCTCCCCGCCGCTTCCCAGGCCTACCCTACACATGAAGGAGGTGGCAGAGGAGAACAGCCAAGTCCCCGGGGCCAGGGAGCCAAGGCACATCTGGGCCTGTCCCCTAACTCTGCAGGGCATCCCTTTCCCCCATTCCCGTGCAGCCTGCTGGCTGTACCCATCCCTATGGCATACTGGTCACTTCCAGTGAGGAGCAAAAGACCTAGAGAGCCATGATTAACTGGATCAGCTAAGATTAATTGGGCAGAGATCAGCTAATGAAAGCTCTCTTAAATCCAAGGGCTACCAATTGGCAGCCTCTCCTGCTGAGAGGTGACCAGCGAGACAAGGAGCATTGTCCCCAGGTGCCACCCACAGCAAGCTCTTCCCCAAAAGATGCTAAGGAACATGCCACGCTGCTGGTCCCCCAGCTCCAGCACATGAGGAGCTGCCTGCGCCCAGGGAAATCCAAGGTGAGTTTCCCTTTGTCTGTGCGCATCCAACCCCATGTCACCTCAGTGACGAGGGTGGACGCCCCATCTGGCTGCACCAGTGTGTTCTCAGCAGCCGCCAGGCTTTGTTGTAGAGAGCCCTTCCCCTGCATCCCTCACTGGGGCCCCTCAATTCTGACTGCAGCCACGGGACTCTGCTCTGCCTGTAGGGCAGCAGGGGACATGGTGCCAGCTGACACGGCACCATCAGTGCCTGCCGGCCGAGCTGGGGGCGCGCCCCTGTCACCTCCCACCCCGCACAGGGCAAGGGGCCGTGACAGTGCAGTTTTCTCCAGAGCACCACCTGCAGCAGGGAAGCAACTCAGCGGACAGTCCAGGACAGGGGCAAGTGTCCCCCATTCCCAGCTGAAATCCAGGCCCCTGCTTCCCTAGTGCCATCACGGGCACCCTTCTCTGTACCTCCTTGCCTCCTGCCCACCCCAATGGGGGACACAGCTCCACAGCAGGGTTTGCAGCTCCCTGAGAATTTCCATGCAGATTCAATTTGCAGGTAGCAAATGTAAGGATGCAGATGAAGGCTTCTGCTCCCCAACCCTGCTGCAAAGACAAGTAACCCCACCCCCGTCCCTGCTCTCTCCATCCTCTCTTTCACAGGCTCAAACCCACAGCAGGGAAAATCCGCATGGAAAGACAGAGAGCTGCAATGGGTGACGAGCATGGCTGGGCACAGAGAAGGGTAGGCAGCCAGGGAGGAGGCAGACACCAGGTTCCCACAACCCCAGGTTTGGGGGGCTACAGCTCCGGCCACATGCAGGGAGGTGGAGGGTGGTGGCAGGATCTGTGCCAGCTCCAGCTGCCACCTCCCAGACAAAATGGAGGTCAGTGGCAGCATGCAGAGATGGCAGAGCCACCACACCCCTGGCCCTACCCGGGGGAGGGAGGGGTCTGCTGCCTCCTCTGCCCCACCAGTCCCACCTGCAAGGGGTGGCATGAGAGCCCAGCTCACAGGGGGCCTTCAGGATCTGGGGAAGGGGTCACTGCCCCATGAGGGATGAGGAGGGCAAGGAGGAGGAAGTAGCGGAGGAAGACTATGGGGCAGGTGCAGGGCTAATTACTGGGAGCCTGGATGACCAAGCATGGAGCTCTGCACCAGCCCTGCGACCTGGGACCAGCCCCTCCAACAGCCAGCAGCCACTGTGCTGGCCCACGGTGACACAGCGGCCCTTGTCCAGCTGCTCCCAATGCAAGGTCAGTGGCAGCTGCTCGTCCTTGGGGGGCAAGAAGAGCCTCAGCATCGCAGCATCTTTGGCAAGAGCCCCAATTGGGGCATCAGCTGCCCCCTCCAGCGCTGTCGTTGGCTCGATGATGACGCAAGATGGCTCAGCTGCATGACCAAAGCCACCTGCCCCGGAGGGGAGAGAGGGGCTGTGGCTCTGAGGTGACAAGGGGTTCCTGTGCCCTGCGCCATGGGCTTCGGGGATGGCATCCTCCCCTTCCGCACCCAGATGCAGAGGCATTGCTCCGTCCCCGGGCAGGAACCCCCGGCTGGATCCTTCTGGAAGACGGGGCGGCACCCGCCGGCCACCGCGCTGGGGACCTGCGGGCAGTTCCCCCCACCTAAACTTCGCGCATCGCGGGGCCCCGCAAAATGGCCGGCGGCCGCAGCCCCCCCGCCCCGCCGGATCCCCGGGGGTGCGCATCCTGCTCCCCCATGCCTAGCTTCGCCCCTGCCGGGGCCGCGAGGGCGGCACCGCCACCCCGGGGCAGCCCGGACTCCCCCTCCGGCCAGCGCCCGGGGGGCGCGGCGGGGCTCACCCGTCCCGCCCAGTGCCGCCCGCCCCTACCTGCGATGGCCGTGCCCGGTTCGGCGGGGCGCAGCGCTCAGTCCCGGGGGCGGGGGGCCGGCATGAGGCCGAGCCGCGCGGTGCGGCGCGGTGCGGTGCGGTGCGGTGCTGTGCGGTGCAGCGCCGGTGCCGGTGCTGGTGCGGGTGGCGGCAGCCCCACCCCTGCGGTCCCCGCCCCACACGCTGGTTGGCCGCCGCCGCCGCCGCCACCGCCCGGAGCGGGGACGGGGGGGACCGGGAGGGCGAGCGCGGGGATGGAGAGGTGACGTCAGCGCATCCCCCGGCCCCGGGCGCGCCGCGGAGCCGCCGCAGGGGCGGGGCGGGGCGGGGCCTCGCGGCACCCGGCAGCCGTCGCCTGGCAACCGGCACCGGCCCGGTACCCCGGTACCTCGGTACCCCGGTACCCCGCACCCGGACCCCGCCACCCCTGGACCTCGGCGCGGAACCCCAGGGAGCGACCCCTTCCAGGGCTTCCCGCGCCCCCTGCCCCGGCGCCGTTCGTTCGCTCCTCCGGCCGCCGGCACCCCGCCCGCAGCGCGGGGCCCGGCCGCTCCTGCCCATCTGCGCCGGGAATTCAGAGCCAGCGCAGAAAGCGGATTATTCCTTCGCCGCCAGCTGTTTTCAGCAGCGCGGTCGCCCTCGCCCCACGGCAGCCCCCAGGCCACGGCGTCCCCTCCCCACCCCAGCTATGCCCCAAATCTCCCTAGAGGACAGGCAGCTGAGAGGTCTTCTTCACCCGGTATCTTGTCGCTTTGGTAGATGACAGCAGTCCTCAGGCTGACTGTGGTTTTCATCATCCATGCAGGGGCAGGCACAGCTGCCCCCAGCTCCTCTCAGTGATGGCCATCCAGCTGCTGGGCAGATGAGCTTTCACCTGGCACCATTGCCAGACCCATGTCCCTGTCCCAGATGTCTTCAGCACCAACTGCTGGTGTCAGCTCTGCCGGGGGGGGGGAGGGGGAATTGTCACCCCTACGCTGTCATCCTCAGAGAAAGCTTTGCTCACTGAGGGTGAGCACCCACTTGTGGACCTGCCAGAGCTGGAAGTGGGCAGCTTGTTTGCCTTTCAGAGTATAGATGGCAGAGAATGTGCCAGAGGATGGGCATGATGCAACTGACTGTGGGCACACACGGCAGGCAACAGCATATTGAATTCCCACATGGACCCTGTGGAATCATCAGGATACACCGGAATGCTCACAGTCCAGGCTGAGCCCACAGAGCACAGCTCGCTGCAGCAGTGGGATACTGTGGCTGTATCCCACTCCACAGCTCTGCCCTGGCACACACCATCCCACTGGCCAGCCTTCTCCGGGCACCTGTCACCTGCCCAGAGGGCCCTCTGCAAGGCAGCTCCCTGGTCAGGGAGCCCTGGTCGACAGGAGCTTTGTGCTGCAGAAGGAGTTATGACCATGGCAGCTGTGCCAGACCAGTCCCAGCACAACCATCCCATGGCACAGGACCTAGGTGCCCACAGCAGTGATCCCACCTGCTGGGATACTGTTGGGAACGATCAGCCATAGTGTCCTGGGGGCTAAGGGTCCAGGTCTGCCTGGGTGCTTGCCAGTCCCAGAGGCTGGCATGCCTGTGGAGCAACCCCCCGGCACTAGCAAGGGGATATGCCTCAAAATGAGGGGTCCGAGATAGCAGGGATGGCACTGGTGACACATTAACTGGACAGAGGAGACAACCAGGGGTAGAGTCCAGACTGGCAGGCGGAGCACTGAACTGCGGGTCAGGGTCCACAGGACACTGGACACTGCTGGCACGGCATGCAGTGTGCTTCAGTGCTGGTTGCTGCTCAGGCAGCCTCCACTGCTCCTCTCCTCCAAGCTCAGCTCCTGGGGACAGTACGGCGTGCCATGGCCACCAGCCTGCTCCGCATCCCCCCACCCCAGGCACTGCTCCGGCCCCTGGTTGTGCCAGAGAGGTTGCTGCTTGGGCCAGGGCCCAGCAACGTGCCCCAGCGCATCCGGGCTGCAGGCGGACGGCAGATCCTGGGCCACATGCACCCCGAAATGCTGCAGGTGAGCTGCCCCAGCCCAGTCTTCTTCCCCTCCCCTCCTCTCTCTCCCCCCTAAGAGGGGTTGGAATGGCAAGAAGAGCAATAGCAGTGCTAGTCAGTGCCCTGCCACCGCAGGTGATGGATGAGATCAAGGCAGGCATCCAGTACGCCTTCCAGACGCAGAACCAGCTGACCCTGGCCATCAGCGGCAGTGGCCACTGTGCCATGGAGGCCGCCCTCTTCAACCTGCTCGAGTGTGGCGACACCATACTGGTGGCCATCAACGGCATCTGGGGACAACGTGCTGCTGAGATTGCCAGGAGGCTGGGTATGTGGGGACAGCCAGATGGCATGGAAGGGCTGAGGGGACCGGGTTTGCAAGCAGGATGCCAAAATCTGAGCCCTGGCTTGCTGTTCCAATCCTGGTGGGAGCGACCAGTGACATGGCTTCCACAGCCAGAGAGCAGTCCAGGTTGTTTCCAGGTGTTCCCTCCATTTAGAGTGGTTTATGGCTTTTCCACTGGGCAGGATGCCAGACCCTGGCAAGCGGCTGTGCTCTTGGTTCACGTATGACAGATTCCCCTGTGGAGCAGGTGACTGCCCAGTGGGAAGTATACCCAAGCCTCACTCTTCTCTGCTCAAATTCCTCCCAGGAGCCAATGTCTATGAGCTGCTGAAACCCCCGGGCGAGTATTTCACTCCACGGGACATTGAGGAGGTGAGTGCTGGCCACATGCAATGCAGTGGGCGTGAGCTGACCTCCAGTGTGGTCACCTTCCCTCTGCGTCATGCAGGGCCTGGTGCAGCACAAGCCCTCAGTGCTCTTCATCACCCATGGCGAGTCCTCCACCGGCGTGCTGCAGCCACTGGAGGGGCTGGGCCAGCTGTGCCACCGGTCAGTGCACGATGGACACCCATGGTCACCCAAGGTCACCACTGGGGGTTGGGCCTGGGGATTTACATGACCTGGGCTCTTCCCTGGCTCTGTGGGTCTGGAAGGTGTTGGTGCCAGTGAGACATGTGGCCCCTGGGGGGATGAGGGTGCTAGGGCTGCAGGCAGAGGGGTGGCAAGAGGAGGATGCAGGGACGGCAGGCTGAGCTCTGTCCTCTCACAGTCACGGCTGCCTGCTGCTTGTGGACGCGGTGGCATCACTTGGGGGAGCCCCCATCTTCATGGATCAGCAGGGTAAGAGCCACAGTACCATCATGGGCACTCATGGGACAAGGGGGTTCATGCCTGGGCCAGGGAGAGGGGGTAGCGGGATCAGCCCCTCTGCCCATATTTTGGACTAGCAGCACTAGAAACTGGTCCAGCTGCAGCCAAGAGAGCCTGTTCCCCTCAAGCGACCATCAGCAGTGCCAGGGGGTCCCCCAAAGCAGCCCAAACACAAGCAGGATCTGTAGCATGTGCCATCCTTGTGCTTCCCACCCACCACTCACAGCTGGGCTGAGGGTACTCAGCATTTTCCCACTGGGAGCATCTGAACCCTAAGGAGTTGCCTTCCTTTTTGGGCAGAGATCGATGTCCTATACTCGGGGTCCCAGAAAGTCCTCAACAGCCCCCCCGGCAGTGCCCCCATCTCATTCAGTGAGCGAGCCAGGTAAGAGCAGCCCAGTCCCACTGGGGTGGAAGGCAATGGGGGTGGGGGAGGCAGTCACCTCCCTCCTTTGCCAGCCATTTGCTCCAGTCCCACTCTGTGGAGAGCACGCCCAGCATGTGAAGAGCATGCAGCAACAGTGCTGTGGAGAGCACACCTAGCATGTGAAGAGCATGCAGCAACAGTGCTGTGGGGGCAGAGTCCAGCCCATCTCTGGGTAGAGTCCAGCCCATCTCTGGGCAGCGACTGGGTGCTGGAGCCAATCTCTGCACTTGCTTTAGGGGGCACAGGACTGATCCCACCTTGGAGCTGGTAGGGTGAAGGTCCAGCCTCTGCCTAGCATTATGCTTCACCAGGGAGAAGGTGCTGAGAAGGAAGACGAAGCCCCAGTCCTTCTACCTGGATATAGGCTTGCTGGGAAACTACTGGGGCTGCGACGGGGAGCCACGGAGGTGAGGGCAGGCTCCTGGTCACAGATGGCTGCAGCTGTCCCCCATCCAGCCTTCACCCTGGCTCAGGGGCTGCCTGCTCTTCAGGGCTCAGACCCTGCCTGTCCATCACCCTGTCTGCTGGTCACAACCCTCTGCACTAAATGATGGAGAGGGAGAATGCTGTGCCTCTGTGTCCCATACTGCAAGCAAATGGCTGCTCTGCTGCAGCCGGGCTGAACCCCTCTGAGTGCCCCTTGAATTTTGCAGGTACCACCACACAATACCCATCAACAGCTTCTTCAGCCTGCGGGAAGGCTTGGCCATGCTGGCAGAGATAGTGAGTGACACCTGGTGGGCAGGGGGACACCAGCAGCGCCGGGTGAGCGCCAGGAGATGCCTGTCAGCAGCAGAGACCTTCTCTCTCCTCTCTGCCTGCAGGGTCTGGAGAGCTCCTGGGAGCGACACCGGGCCAACTGCGCCAGGCTGTGCCAGGGGCTGCTCAGCCTGGGGCTTGAGCTCTTTGTTAAGGAGGAGGTGGGTTCAGGGCAAGCCCACCACCACGGGGTAGGGGCAGCGTGAGGACACAGCCCAGCACAGCTCAAGATATGCTTGGACAGCTTTTGATACTGGAGAAAAACCAACCCCATTATCAATGCTCTCTCCCGGCAGTCTGCTGGGCTCACCAGGGGGTGGGGCCATAGAATTGAACCCAGTTTCTCTGTTCCCCAGAAGGTGAGACTTCCCACCGTCATCACTATCAGAGTGCCTGAGGGCTACAACTGGAAGGACATCACAGCCTTTCTGATGGACAACCATGCCATGGAGATCACTGGAGGCCTGGGCCCCACGGTAGACAAGGTGGGCAAAATCCTCCCCTCCTGCTGCCCATGGCTGGGCACCAAACCCCACGATTCGCTGGATTCACTGCGGCTCTCTGGCCATGACAGAGTGTGGCTGCCTTTGTCCCACGTCCCATGGCCCGCAGCAATGCATAGCGGCATAACCACACACAATCACCCGCCTAATTGAATAACCACGCACACAATTAGCGGGG